GGGGGGTACACGTTACATGCTCGAAGCTGAAATTGATTAAGTACGTCTCGACTGAGGAAAAAGACGCTATACTGGAGGAACTTGATTTGTGAAATCTCGTTAAAGCAGTTGTAGATATGGTTCCTAGAAGAATAGATTTAGTTTAGATTTTTAACTGTTAAATACATGTATGCATCATCATAGCATGAATATTTATTCTCAGACTTATTCTGTATCGTATGAAAAAGCAACGCAATTTTGAGAATGCGGAAATGGTGTTTCATAGAATCTAAAGTGATTTAAATGCAACATTTCTGATCAGAATCACATTGGGATCCCCCCCTCCCCCAGTATCACAGAGAGGAAATAAGGTGACACTGACCCCTCCTCCTAATTTTCAAGGTGACTTTTCCAATTTATTTAATTCCGAGTAGAAATGTCTAGAAAAATTCATGTCTTCGATGTACTTTATAATCTTCGGAATTCTACTAGATTTCACCCCCAAAATGCATGAAATCGCAATTCAGGGACCCTAGATTTCAAAATTTGCCGGACCCACCTAGACGGTCTCATGCCTTCGGCGTGAGGTCCCCCCCCCCCGCGCAAAATTAAGGTTTGGCTACGCCACGGGTTATAGCTGTACAATTATAGCTACAAAGAGTTGAAGTTATTGTTTAAAGTAAAAAATAGCTGAAGCAAGCCCGTAGCTGGCTCTCAATTTCTGGGGGGGGGGGGGCACTGCAGAAAGAATATAACAGACGGTTTGAGATGAGAAAAATTGTTTTCTGGAATTTATTTTGGCGATCTCCCCCCAAAAAAATTTCGGTCAGTGTATCAATTTAGGGGTCAAAAATTTTTCCGGACAGACCAATTTTTTCCGTACAGACCAAATTTTTCCGAAACCTAACAAAATTTTTCGAAACATCACAAAATTTACCACAAAATTTACAGAATATGTCCCATGATTACAATTGGTTTTCAGGTCCTTTATCTCAATTTTTCATACTAAATTGGGGGGCCACTGGGGGGCACTGCCCCAATGAGTGGGTGGGGGGGGGCAATGCCCCCCAGGCCCCCCCTCAGCTACGGGCCTGAGCTGAAGTTAATAAATTAAAGTTTTACAAATTCTCTCTTCAGACTCGCGCGTTCGCCAAACCTTGACGGCTCATATTTTTCGTTCTGCCTTTTTTCCCTGTTTTGCCCCCCCAGGGAAAATTCCTTAAAAAAGGCACTGGCCTGTATGGCAATCAATACCAGGTATTCTGCCTGATAAACTTGAAATAATACAGAAAAGAGCCCTGAAAATAATTTCCCATCTGCTGAAACATACCTAGAAGCTCTACAGTTACTGGGATTGACAATCTAGCCGATAGGAGAATCATCATATGCCGTAAAAAATACATGAGTAAAATGAAAAGAACAAATCATCTCCTACATGCGTTATTACCCAAAAGCACGGACAAAAACTGTAATTATGAGCTTAGAGACAAAACCGAAGACGTTTTCCTGTATCAAGATTTTAAGTTCTGTAGAACTAAAAAGACAGAATACTTTTTTACCTTCAAATCTTATTAGGGACCGGTCATAAAGTAAAAGGGGGGGGGCTGGAAAAATCATATATTTGGTGTCTGCACTTTTGCCTTTTGGTAGCCCACCCCTTAATAGCTGCACGAAAATTTGTAGCCCACCCTTAAAATGGTGCTGATAAATTATGACCCACCCCTTTTCCTATTTTTTTCCGGACAATAATCCCCCCCCCCGTCGACAACTTTTTTCGGTAAAAAAATTTTCCGGACGATTACGTTGCAATTGCTTTCCAAGGACTTTATCTTAATATTTCATACCAAATTTCGGTACTTAGCCCAAAAAACAGATATCTTGTTCTCTGCGCAGAAATTTTTAACACAAAAAAATGACTGGGGCCCAATCTTCTGCAAATTTTTACATGGCCCACCCTTATGATTGCGCTTAACTTTCGATGACCCACCCCTTCAACCGTGCTCAAAAATAGTGACCCACCCCCCTATTTTTTCCAGCCCACCCCCCTTTTACTTTATGACCGGTCCCTTAACATTTTAATAGACCTTTTAAAGCCTATTTTCACTATTTTCATTGAAACATAAAGTTAGATTTTATATAGATTATTTGGACAAAATTGTACTAGTTTTTTACACTATATCATATATATAGTTATACTATAATGGCCTATAATATTGTAAAAATATAAACTCTGTAATTCAGTCTTTGTAACTGCGAAAGAGTTTCAATAAATCATAATTAAATTCGCCGTAGCATCATAGACATAGTGTAAACGCAGCCAAAACTAATTTTGTTTTGTTCTATCCAGCACAAAAGAAACATAGTTAGGTTATTTTAGGTGGTCAGCGTTGAAATTATGATCAATAGAATAAATCTACATATCTTTTAAAATTTTCTTGCATTGGCTGTTTTATTAACTTTCAAAAACTGAAAAACTGAAGAATCGTGTTGTCGAGTCGCGTCCGGTGTGTATCGGCCTTACCAGAAGACCCCAGAAAGACTATAATAATTTGCATTTTTTGTGGCTGTTCCTGATTATACATAGGAGTCAAAAATGTATAAAATTTACAGTCGAAATTTCCACCTAAAAAACTCTTCGACACAAATGTTTTGAAAATATCCCTCGGAACTGTCGGGCTTTGTTTACTGTGAACATGGATTGTAAAATATCTATTTTATTTATATCCATGCTGTGAATTTTGCACCATCCCATCATTTTTATTCTTTAGCTGTGAGGACATGAAGTATTTAGGAGATGTAGGAAATATAGCGGGCTCAGAAATTATCTAAAACAAAATCTTGCTGATGAAATAAATTTCTGTTTTGAAATGAAATGGAGCTTTTTCTTAATTTATTTTGTGCTTTAGTTATTTTAGCTCTTCTTGGAATTTTAGTGGTACGTTATTATAATCTTCGTTCAATACGTGTGTTATTTTCCGAGCTATAACACAGAAATGTTGTTTTTCAGGGGATCGTGATTATATATGCAACAACCAGTGATACGTTTGCAGTCATAGAACGTTTGTCTGATGAGAAATATTTTATTGATCCGGCTAAACAAAATACAAAATGTCCATTTCCTTATCTGGAACAAGAATCTAGTATTGATTTATCTGTGATTGTGCCATCTTACAATGAAGAAGAAAGATGTAAGTATTGTGATGTAGTCTGATGATGCAGTTTGACTTGTGGGAGGGTGAAGGCATGGTCAAATAGTCAATAGAAATTTATTATATAGAATAATAAGGTTAGGGAACTTAATGCAGACATAATGGACCTTATTATTTTGTCTTGGTTTATGCAAGAAATGATTGGTTCATCGTCATGCTAAAAGGCTAGAACAACCATTATAGCTATGTTTTCATTTTCACATCACAACTCCATACTGGAAAGTTTGTATGTTACGCCGAATATATTCGGCGTATAATTTAGTCGACTACGCCAAAATTGGCGTAATTTTGCCTGTTTATTTGGCCAT